AAAAATGTCATTGATCTTACGTTTAAATAACCCCAGAGACTCTGTGTTCCTTATATCGCGTGGTAAACTGTTCCATAATGTGGCGCCATTGTAGCTAAAGCTTTTTCTGTAATAATTAGTGCGCGGTAGTGGAACATTAAGCTTATTTTCAGAGTCCCTGAGGTCATAAGCAGAGTCACGCCACGTAAACTTTGAATACAGATATCCTGGAGCTAGCCCGTGCAGACATCAAACTGAAGAAAGTATACCCTCATTGTATCACCAACACCTTGCAGAAATCCCTGAAGTGTTTCCCTGAGCTTTCGAAAACATTCGTCACTTGAGGTTCTCAGTGGGGTGATAGCAGTTACTGTTGACGGTTAAAATTTGGCCATTTAACGGCTAACGGTTAATTTTTCCCCGTTGTGATTAAAAGAAACCTTTCTTTTGAGTGAATTTTTTTTCAACGACTAACAGTTAAAATGTGTCAATTATATGCCTATTTGCTAAATTTTCTGTCGTTTTATGGCTAACGGTTACCCCATTGATACCCTCTAACTTCAACCCAAACAATGAAGGTACAAAGACAAATCTCACCCACCAGATCAACTTCGAACAATTTGAAAATTTCCGAGACGTTTCAAATTTATTATTTAGGGTGTTCTGATGAGTTGGCAGACTGACTTGACTTGACTTTTCTCTCTTCTCTTATTTTCGTCTCCTGTGCGATCCATGGCAAGAACATTGCCACTCTAGTATTAATTCAGAATTTTTCGTTAAGACTGATAGCTCAAACTTTTGGGCGTGAAAAACTTCTCTGCAAGCATTAAAACACGTTAACCGCCAGTTTCGACTATGATCCAATTTGTGTTCATTCGCACTATATATTAGCGCACTGGCCTTGAAGGTCCCAATCAGTCCATCTTCTGAAGACAGGATACCCTCATTGTATCATCAACACCTTGCAGAAAGTCCTGAAGTAAGTGTTTCGCTGAGCTTACGAGAACATTTGTCACTTGAGATTCTCAAAGGGGTGATGACAGTTACCGTTGACGGTTAAGATTTGGCCATTAAACGGCTAACAATTGATTTAATTTCTTCCTGGGATCATTCCAGGGAGGGATTCCTCCGCCAGTAGTGAATTTAGCCCTGATAATGATGATGATGATGATGTTGTAATTAAAAGAAACATCTTTTTTTGGTTAATTTTTTTTTAACGACTGAGAGATAAAAATTTGTCAATTTCATGCCTCTTTGTTAAAATTTCTGTCGTTCTACGGCTAACGGTCGACCCCAACGGATACCCTCTTACTTCAAGCCAAACAATGAAGGTAAATAATAGATTTGACTTGTCCCGGGTGAGGAACAGACAAATCTCACCCTTCAGATCTGCTTCGCAAATATTTTAAAATTTCTGAGACGTTTCGAATTTATTCCTAGGGTGTCTTGATGAGTTGGCAGAAACTTGACTTTACTTTTCTCTCTTCTCTCATTTTCGTCTCCTATGCGATTCATTGCAAGAACATTGCCACTCTAGTATTAATTCAGAATTTTTTCGTTCCGACCGATAGCTCAAACTTTTGGGTGTGAAAAACTTCTCTGCAAGCGTTAAAACACGTTAACAGCCAGTTTGGACTTTGATCCAATTTCTGCTCATTCGAACTATATGTTAGCACACTGGCTTTGGAGGTCCCAATGGGGACGTAGTCAATTATCTTAATGTAACCAGTCGTGAAAATATGAATTAAAATCGAAAAATTACATTCTTAGGCTTACTACATTCTAAGCAACTGGAAGTAATCCCGAGAGGGTTTCCATCATGCAAGTTACACGTTAAAGTTCCCTTTTCTCACCTTGTACATATAATACTGTGAACCAGCACCTTCAATCTCTTTGAGTAGCTTCTCGGGGTAGAGATTTTCCGCAAGATACTTCATGTGACTTGTCGTATTTGACGTCATGCATGGATGAGACTTCCTAGGATCTGCCAGAGGAAACGCTTCCCAGACGCTTATCTCTCGTGGGGTGGGGACTGGGGCGAAAACGATATCGGTGCTCTTTTTCTGCATTTCCAGGAACTTTCGGATGAATTCCGTGGTCTGGTCGGTTTTCTTGTCAAAAATTAAGCTGACAACTTTCGCTTCAACTGCTTGTTTGAGAGCTGGGAACTTCGAGAAGGTTTCATCGATGGCCTTTTGGACGATATCTCGTAGAGTTGTCTAAACATTTCTGACAAGTTTCTCTGATAGGGGTAGTAACTGATCAACGGGACTCGAAAGCGTGACAGGTTTACCATTGGCGTTAAATCCTTTCATATGTGAAAAACAAAAAAGCAGACAGTCACGGCTTGGGAAAGGTGACTAACTGGATCACTACACTTAAAACAGTCTGTCTGACCAAAAATGTCTCACTATATTGAAGCCTTTCCTTTATGGCACCTCTTTTCAGGGGAAACGATTTGACTCACGAGAGTGTTCGACTGTATAAGCTTTAAGCCTGTCACCTTCCTTCAAGGGACACTTGNCTCTGATAGGGGTAGTAACTGATCAACGGGACTCGAAAGCGTGACAGGTTTACCATTGACGTTAAATCCTTTCATATGTGAAAAAAAGAAAAGCAGATAGTCACGGCTTGGGAAAGGTGACTAACTGGATCACTACACTTAAAACAGTCTGACTGACCAAAAATGTCTCACTATACTGAAGCCTTTCCTTTATGGCACCTCTTTTCAGGGGAAACGATTTGACTCACGAGAGTGTTCGACTGTATAAGCTTTAAGCCTGTCACCTTCCTTCAAGGGACAATTGCAGAAAGAAAAGAATCTGACTGATGCTCGGAAGAACTCGAGTGACCAAGTTGCCACGATTGGTTTTCGTTTTGAATCTGATTGGTTGAGAGAGTGGGGCGAGTTTTCCGGTCCAATCACAGAGCAAAGTAAAGCAAAACTGGAGAAATCTCAGATTACTTTAGGCTCTCCATTGAAAACAGAAGAGACGAAAATAACATTCGGGATTTTGTCCGTGATTAGTTTTTTTTAAAGTGGTACCCTGCCTCCTAATTTAAAGGTATCCTTACAATCCTTATCCTTCTTATTATTATCGAAACCTAGTTCATATTTTTTATCGCTCGTTTTTATCACTAAATGTTTTAATAAGAACTTATTACTTCGTATCCTTATTAGTTTTGCTAAAAACATTTGCTTTCTCGAAGAAACTTTATGAAGAGCTTTTTAATTGTCCAATACCTGTATACTTCTCATACAGCAACCTCTGTAACAACTGACTGTTTTCACTGCTGTTGCCAAGTGGAGCAGCCACGCCCTCCAATTTTCGCTGTTGTCTTCGTATTTCATCGTCATTACGCGTCTCCAGAGGATCCACCTGCGACAAATTTTTATCGAAAAATATTGATAGCTGGGATTCTTCCAAGTGCTCTATACTTCATGTAGCACCAAGCGTAGACGTCAAGCTTTGTGTTGGGTCAAAATATCAACACTGTGTGTTGTAATCAACGGGCAGCGACTGATGCAAAATTCAAACAGATTCAGGAAAATATAAGATTAACTAGAATGAGTAAAACTCCTGTTACATGGTGTCATTCACGTAAACCTTTAGCGCCAGTTTGCACAAAAATGACAACTCATTCATAAACAGACACTCATGATTTTAAGTCGAAACAATAGGCCAAAAACACTCACCTTGAAAACCTCTTGGTGGAATGAATTAAACAGCTGCCTGACGCGTTCACCTCCAGCCATGTCAGAAGTGTTGTTAAAAAGAAGTTTATTCAACTCTCTGATGAGATTTTCTTTCAGTTTCATGGCCCCTGCACCCTTACCCTCGCTCGTCTCTGGTATCTCGCTGTCCTCTAATTCTACAAGTATATCATCCACCTATTTGAATCAAAAAGTTTTGGTATAGACCACTTTCATAAATGGCTGCCGTATAAATATTCTTTTGTTTAAATTTAAATTAGCCCTACTGCCCTCGCTTGAGACAATGTATTCTTTTGAATTTTGTACTGGAGAACGAGGCCAGTAGGGCTAATTTAAATTTAATCAAAAGAATATTAATCCGGCAGCCATTTATGAAAGTGGTCTATTAAGACACGACACGATGATGCTGATATATTTCGTGTTGGTTACATGATATGCTCATTATAATTCATAATGTGCTTACATACATACCTGCCAT